CACAATTAAAAATTCTCGAGGCTCAAAGTCAAAAACAGCTCGCCTAAACATTCCACTAAGCCCGTCGTAACACAACTAAGATTTTTGGAGGCACAAAGTGAAATGATGAAATTGAAGTATTGAAAACAATACGGCTTGTCAAGTTGTCTCCAACAAAGCCCTCTTAATACAATTAAAGTTTTTCGAGGCACAAAGTCAAAAACAGCTCATGTTATTATTCAACTAAGACCGCCCTATTACACTTAGTGTTTTTAGATGTACAAAATCAGGAACATTTCATCTAAACATCCCACTACGCCCCTCCTAAGATTAATATAGTTTTTCAAGGAACAAAGTCCAATAAAATTTTTACAGTATTAAAAACAACTTGACATTTTAAGTTGTCCTCAACAAAACCCCTCCTTCAACAACTAAGCTTTTTTGAGGCACAAAGTCTAATGATATTTTTACATTATTAAAATCAAAATGGATTGGCTTGTTGTCCTCAACAAATCCCTCTTAACACAATTTATGTTTTCGGAGGCACCAAAACAATCACAGCTCAACTGAATTCTCCACTCTGCCCCTACTAACAAAACTAAAATTTTTGGAGGCACGAAGTCAAGAACAGCTCAGCTAAACATTCCACTAATCATCTCCTAGCACAACTAAGCTTTTTGGAGGCACAAAGACAAATGACAAATATAAAGCATTCAAGAAAAAACGGCATTGCAAATTGTCCTCAACAAGGCCTCTCCTAACACAATTAGGATTTTTGGAGGCACAAATTCAATAACAATTCACCTAAACGTTCCACAAAGTCACTCCTAAAACAACTAAGATTTTTCGAGGCACAAATGCAAACGATCAGTTTACAACATTAGAGTAAAATACCGCATTGCAAGTTGTCCACACAAAACTGAGCACCTTCTAACTCAATAAAGGTTTTTGGAGGCACAAAGTCAAATGATAAATTTACAGTTTTGAAAAGAACACGGTTTGGTAAGAGTGCACAACAAAGCCCCCCTAATGATATTAAAGTGATGGAGGCACGAAATCAGGAACAACTCCCATAAACATCCAACTACGCCCCTCCTAACACATCTAAAGTTTTTGCAGGCACCAAGTCAATTGATCATTTGCTAGTATTAGAAACAATACGGAATAGCAAATTGTCTCCACCGAATCCCTCTTAACACAATTGAGGTTTTTAGAGGCATAGAGCCAAAAACAGCTCACCTAAACATTCCACTAAACCCGTCGTAACTCAACTAAGGTTTTTGGAGGCACAAGGTCAAATGATAAAGTTACAGTATTGAAAACAGTACGGCATGGCAAGTTGTCCTCACCAAATACTCTCGACACAATAAAAAAATTTCGAGGAACAAAGTCAAGACAGCTCACCTAATCATTCAAAAAAGCCCTATAACAGCTAATGTTTTTAGATGCACAAATTGAGGAGCATTTCATCTAGACATCCCATTACGCCCCTCCTAAGATGAATATAGTTTTTGAAGGAACAAAGTGAAATGATATATTTACAGTATTAAAAACAACTGGATATCTTAAGTTGTTCTCAACAAAAATCCTCCTTATACATCTGAGGTTTTTTGAGGCACCAAGTCAAATGATAAATTTAAATTATTAAAATCAAAAAGGATTGGCTTGTTGTTCTCAACAAATCCCTCTTAACACAATTTTTGTTTTCAGAGGCACCAAAACAAGAACAGCTCTACTGAATATTCCACTCTGCCCCTACTAACATAATTAAAGTTTTTGGAGGCACAAAGTCAAAAACAGCTCATCTAAACATTCCACTAAGCCAGTCGTAACACAAATAAGGTTTTTGGAGGCACAAAGTCAAATGATAAAGTTACAGTATTGAAAACAGTACGGCATGGCACGTTTTCGTCAGCAGATACTCTCAACACAATTAAAATTTTTCGAGGCACAAAGTCAAGACAGCTCATCTAACCATTCAAATAAGAACGCTCTATAACAGTTAAAGTTTTCAGATGCACAAAATCAGGAACATTTCATCTAGACATCCCACTACGCCCCTCCTAAGATGAATAAAACTTTTGAAGGAACAAAGTCAAATTACATATTTACAGTGTTAAAAACAACTGGATACTTTAAGTTGTTCTCAACAAAACCCCTCCTTATACATCTAAGGTTTTTTAAGGCACCAAGTCAAATGATAAATTTACATAATTAAAATCAAAAAGGATTGGCTAGTTGTCCTCAACAAATCCCTCTTAACACAATTTTTGTTTTCGGAGGCACCAAAACAAGAACAGCTCAACTGAATATTCCACTCTGCCCCTACTAACATAATTAAAATTTTTGGAGGCACAAAGTCAAAAACAGCTCACCTAAACATTCCAATAAGCCAGTCGTAACACAAATAAGGTTTCTGGAGGCACAATTTCAAATGATAAAGTTAAAGTATTGAAAACAGTACGGCATGGCACGTTATCGTCAGCAGATACTCTCAACACAATTAAAATTTTTCGAGGCACAAAGTCAAGACAGCTCATCTAACCATTCAAATAAGACCGCCCTATAACAGTTAATGTTTTTAGATGCACAAAATCTGGAACATTTCATCTAAACATCCCACTACGCCCCTCCTAAGATGAATATAGTTTTTGAAAGAACAAAGTCAAATAAAATATTTACAGTATTTAAAACAACTTGACATTGTAAGTTGTCCTCGAAAAAACCCTCCTTATACAATTAAGGTTTTTTAAGGCACAAAGTCAAATGATAAATTTACATGATTAAAATCAAAAAAGATTGGCTTGTTGTCCTCCACAAACTTCTCCTAACACAATTTATGTTTTCGGAGGCACCAAAACAAGAACAGCTCAACTAATTATTCCACTCTGCCCCTACTAACACAACTAAAAATTTTGGAGGCACGAAGTCAAGAACAGCTCAGCTAAATATTCCACTAATCATCTCGTAACACAACTAAGCTTTTGGGAGGCACAAAGTCATATGACCAATTTAAAGCATTTAAGAAAAAACGGTATTGCAAGTTGTCCTCAACAAGGCCTCTCCTAACACAATTAGGATTTTTGGAGGCACAAATTCAATAACAATTCACCTAAACGTTCCACAAAGTCACTCCTAAAACAACTAAGATTTTTCGAGGCACAAATGCAAACGATCAGTTTACAACATTAGAGTAAAAAACCGCATTGCAAGTTGTCCACGCAAAACTGAGCCCCTTCTAACTCAATTAAGGTTTTTGGAGGCACAAATTCAAATGATAAATTAACAGTTTTGAAAAGAACACGGTATGGGAAGAGTGCACAACAAAGCACTCCTAATGCTATTCAAGTGATGGAGGCACGAAATCAGGAACAACTCCAATAAACATCCAACTACGCCCGACCTAACACAACTAAGGTTTTTGCGGGCACAAAAATAATTGATAATTTTCTAGTATTAGAAACAATACGAAATGGCAAATTGTTTTCACCGAATCCCTCTAAACACAATTAAGGTTTTTATAGGCACAAAGTCAAGAACAGCTCACCTATTCTTTCCATTAAGCCCGTCCTAACACAAGTAAGACTTTTGGAGGCTCAAAGTGAAATGATCAGACTACAGTAATAAAAACAATACGGTATGTCAAATTGTCCTCAACAAATCCCTCCTAACACAATTAAAGTTTTTGCAGGCACAAAGTCAAAAACAGCTCACCTAAACTTTCCACTAAGACCGTCGTAACACAACTAAGGTTTTTGGATGCACAAAGTCAAATAAGAAAGTTACAGCATTGAAAACAGTACGGCATGGCAAGTTGTCCTCAAAAAATACTCTCAACACAATTAAAATTTTTCGAGGCACAAAGTCAAAACAGCTCACCTAATCATTAAACTAAGACCGCCCTATAACAGTTAATGTTTTTAGATGCACAAAATCAGGAACATTTCATCTAAACATCCCAATACGCCCCTCCTAAGATGAATATTGTTTTTGAAGGCACAAAGTCAAAAACAGCTCACCTAAACTTTCCACTAAGCCCGTCGTAACACAACTAAGGTTTTTCGAGGCACAAAGTCAAATGATAAATTTACATTAATAAAATCAAAACAGCATGGTTTGTTGTCCTCAACAAATCCCTCTTAACACAATTAAGTTTTTGGAGGTACCAAAACAAGTACAGCTCAACTGAATATTCCACTCTGCCCCTACTAACACAACTAAAGTTTTTGGAGGCAAGAAGTCAAGAACAGCTCAGCTAAACATTCCACTAATCCCCTTCAAACACAACTAAGGTTTTTGGAGGCACAAAGGCAAAAAATTTTTTACAGCAATAAAATAAAATTTGGTCTTTTAAGTAGTCCTCAACTAAACCCCTCCTAACACAACTAAGGTTTTTGGAGGCACAATGTCAGGAGCAGCTCACCTATACATCCAACTTCGCGCCTCCTAACACAACTGAAGCTTTTAGAGTCACAATGTCGAATGATAATATTATAGCATTATTAAGGCCATTCAGAAAACATTTTTTGAAGAATATTGACCAAACGAAAAAATGTAAAAAAAAAAAAAAAACATTTTTTTTTCAAAATGTTTTTTTTTCAAAAGGGCGCTAAAATCCTCCAAAAACTACTTTCATCTGCGAACATTTACATTTTGTGGCTTAAAGTCAGTGTTAATAAGCTATTGAAATCCTACACGTTCACGCCATATTAGTTCGAAACTAGACCAAAACTCAAACCGGTTTTTCTCAACATTCGGAAGATGTTTCTGAAGTTTTTTTAATGTCGTTCGAATCACGACTAAAAGGGCTTCAATATAACATATCACTCAACCCAGTCCGCTGATTAGTAGCGATACCTGATTTTGCGTGGGAAAAAAATGAATACAAAGATCCTTATTTTCAATGGTCGGAACAATAAAAACGCAACGAATCTAAATAGAGTCAAATTAGTTTTTAGACAAAATTAGGAGCTGAATGGAAGTTTGGTATAGATTAAAAGACTAAATTATCATATATATGTGTGCACTCATTGAAACCAGGTAATAACTTAGGGTACAAAAAAATTAAATAAAGTCACTAGCGACTTTTTTATTGTTTCAGTTACACATTTCCCACCATGACTCATTTCAAGGGGTGTTCTTCCAGGTACTTAGTGTTCATTTCACCAATGACTGCTTTGGCGAAAGGCTTAGTAGCGTTAATATTAAAAGTGTTCATCAAATTCACTGGATCCGTTAGCTTCGTCTTCTTTTCCTGAATATGATACTTCGGATCTCCTCCATTGTGTTTCAGCGAGAATCGAATGATTACGTCCTTGAACAGCCATGGTTTCTCCTGGTCGTAGTTTTGGGGGTCTATCTCGATAGACTCAATTGGGATCTTTTTGTAATCTCGTTCCTTGTTGTTGAAGTTCATTGTCTTCATGATCAGAGGCCAACTGTGCTCTCTGAAACATACTTATTAAAATTGCGCATATTTTTTTTATTATGATACGTTTACGGAAGATACAGTCTTAACAAAGTTAAGATACGGTCGTATGATTTTGGAATTAGTCTCGAAAAGCGATAAAAATGCCTGACTTGCTTTTTAAAAAATCTGACATGAAACATTTGACTGTGCCTTGATTTTTTAACGAGTCAAAATTATTCAACAAAATTAGTGAAATGTTTTATATTAGGAAAGCACATGCTCAGGTGCAAGAAACAGAAAGACTCTCTTTCAATGGCTTACTTTATGATGTTATTTGCCCTCTTATGTTGTTCCTCTAAAGACTTGGTCAACATCTCGATCGTATGGCTCTGCATGGCTTCCCTTTCCGCAATGTCTTTGCAGAATCGATCCTCTTCATCCGGCGCACACACTCGTTTGCACTTCTTATCGGTTTCGTACTTCTTACAGAAACTATACTCGCCTTCTGCCACAAATTGTTGACAAAAAGGTGAATTGTTGTCTCGTTTGGACGCTTCTTCCGTATCTCGTTTCCAAATGCTGAACTTTTTTAGTACTTTGTTCACCGTTTTTACCGTGTTTTCGCTCGTTTTCTCCACCATGGTCTAGATAATCAAAACTTAAATTAGAGACTCGTGAACATTGCACCATGGCCTTGAAAATTTCAAGGAAAACACTAGTTTTGTAAACGATACGAAAAATGTTTCATTTTTGGCTTAGTTACAAGCGGACTTAAATAAGCATTTATAATCCAGAAAACAGTGGCGCTTCATTTAAACCTTAAGGTTTGAAACAAAATTGCCTTGGTGTAGGTACTAACCCCAAGGACATCTTGGTTGTTGTCCAGAAGCTTCTGTTGTGCAGTGTCTGCCCCGTACTCAGCCGCATTCCTCAACAGGTCCAGACCACTCTGGAAATGAAATATCAGGATTAAATGCCAGCAAAGGAGATTTCATCTACCAAATGAGATTTAGTTGGAAAAGCTCAAGAAGTCCGATCTGCCACATATTCTTGTGTAAAGCAAGGTGATCAATTTTCAGTTCGATTTTCAGCTCGATTATCTACATTTTCAGACTTTCGGATAACATAGTTAATAGTAGAGTTAAAATTCTAACCTTCACCCAGCTCTGCCAAATAAATAACAAACATTAGCTTAATTCCATCCTACATCTGCAAAGAAGTATCTGTTAGAGAAGCATTATTTAATCACACCGGTGTGAAAAGTCCGTTCCACAATAGTAAATTCCGGAATCCAAATCAATAGGTAACTAACTTAATCTTATTAACTATAGCAAAAGAGTGAGAAGTAGAGGTCTCTCCATTTCAGAATTCAGAACCATTTTTGTGCTCTTGAAAAAAATCTACTGGTTTTTTGCACTTTTTCCGATTTTAAAATTTTTGCATCAGACTCTCAAGGAAGAAGCACAGATCAAAGGTAGGCTTCGAATCACCAGCATTTTGTTTGAGATTGAGGTTTTGATACCTTGACATCCAGGAGTGCCTTCTGACTGCGTTCATAGTGTGCATCCCACTGTTCCTTCCACTCTTTGTCAAACTGGAACTGTTTTAACTCATCTATCCGTTTGTCCATATCCTTCATCAATAACTCCATTTCGTCCACCCCATCTCCGACTAAGAAAAGAAAATTAAAAAATAAGTAATTTAATTCAACAAGTCGAAAGGACCGTTCAAAATGGCTGTTTGGGACCGTTCAAAAGACAATCATCTTGAAACTTTTAGCTATGAACTTGAATTTAAAAAATTTGTCAATTGAAAGCTCTCAGTCGTTTGCTTAAACACTTTCGTTGAGTCAATGTTGATAGTTTAAGCTGGGAAAATGAGCATTTTTTTAAATTGAAATTCGCTTAGATTTATTTTTATTTCTCTAATGATTAAGATAGATCGACTAATTCGGGTACATCTGCCATGAAGAAACATTAACTTCTTCTTAAGTGCGCGAAGAATAAGAATATAAGTCCGCAGCCAAATAAAAACAATATCTTTAATATTTAATCGGCTTTAATTAAACATTGAGAAAACATACAAGTCTCCATGGTGTTGGTGGATCCATCCGAGAAGAAATCGGCCGAGTTGAAGTACAGTTCGGCCATGTCGTCTCCGAAGATGTCCATTGTGGTCATGGTTTTATTGCCCACATCCTCAATCATCTCGTTCTCGCTGAACCAGTCCATGTCGCCTGGAAACCATGATTGTCTGCTAATCAAGGGCGGATCTAGGATTTTCTCTTCGAAAGTTTTGTTGACCTTTTTTTTAGGTCAACCTAATTGATTTTCCGAGCTCTGCCAAAGCACCAAAAGGACCCTGTTTTGTCCAGATTTTCTGCGCTGCAGGCAATTTTTTTGAAAAAAGGGGCAAAAAAGCGTTTTTAGGTACTTTTTGGAAAACTTCGACCAAAAAATCGCGTTTTTCGGCGACCCCCCCCCCCCCCCCTGAAGATTAGTATATATTGGCGCCAAAGGAGCTTTTAGAAACATTTTAGGGTCGGTCGGCCAAAAATGGATTTCTTTAAAAGTACCGAAGGGGGGACCCTTTGTGTAGGGGGTCGAATCCCTGAGGGGAAAGGCGTCCTCCCCCCCCCCCCCCCCCCTAAATCGCCCCTGCTAGTAATGCTATATTTTTGAAATTTGATATTGGTTTTAATTTATTCAATTGAAGATCTTTCAGTCGTGATTTTAGCCGAAAACTTTCACAGGATGGAAAAAAAATCGGCTAAAAGATTTTGCTTTTTAGTCTAGTAAAGGAAGCGATATTAGGCGTGTTATGATAGAAAAAACTTGTACTTGCGCTGTGAAAAAACGTAACTTACTCTAGTTTACCTACTAGATTTCAAAGCTTTTAACTATTTTTCAAAAGCGTGGTATTTGAATTATAAATGTAATTTTTGTTGTTTTGGTATAAGAATAGGATATTCATTTGGTAAAAAAGTGATAGCAAACCGTTTCATTATAGGTGAAAAAAAAAACTTTCAAATTTGGTCAATTTCTCAAGAGTAGAAAAAAAAACGTTTTCTTTTTTTTTCAAATTAAGGTCATTTTTTGCGTGTGGTTGATCAGAGCATCTGACAGGAAGCTTAAAACCTAAGAAAATTTGACATTTTCAGTGAAATAGGCAAGATGATCAACAGTTGAAAAACAAAAATCCGTTTGATATTTAAAAAAATCTTATTTGAAAAAAAAAATTTAGCTGTACATTTGAAGTTTTTTTTCATTCTCAAAAGGGCGCAGAAAAAACTTCGAAAACTAATGTTAATGGAGTGCAAGGAAATTTCTGGAATTGAACAAAAGCTTCAATAAAAAGCATATTATTAGCCTGCTCGCTAGCTTTTCGCTCGAAGTTAGCCTAACAATCAAAAATTTGCAATTGAAAAACCCAGATTACCAGTAGTCAATGATTCACGCACACATCAACATTGGTGCCGAATCTAAGCGCAGTCGATCAAAGCTTTTGGTCGCTAGTTGTTAGTGTTATTTTTGACCAAAATTTCTTTGATTGAGTTGTATAAAAAAATGGCTCATATTCAATTTTAGGAGTAATCTCTAATTAATTTTGGCTAAAGTGATTCTGCCAGAGCTAACGTGACACCGAAAAAATCTCACTGCCAAGATCAGCTCGTGTTTAAAATTACTCACAAATTTGTTCTTTCGGGTATACCAGTTGTACGTCATTAAGTTCCACTATAAATGCTAATTGTTTCAATTCATATTTTCAACTCTTTTGATGCATGTAATACCAATTTACTGTGGATTCCCATTACAAATTCAGTGGAATCAGCTTAGAGCTAAGAGCGTTCTAAAGTCGTCTTACTTCCTAGTTCTTCCATGAGGTTGTCGAAGTTGCTCATGGCAGAGTCCTCTTCCATCATCTTCTCCAGCTCAGCCAACTTCTCCTGCTGCTGCTCATCAATCTCGTCCACCTCTTTATCCCCCTTCATGTTTAAGCCCTTCTCCTTTTTTGAGTCAGGCTTATTGTTACTCATCATTGATTCCGGCATCAGAAGATCTTTAAGAAAAAATTATGTTCTTGAAGAAAAAAGTAAAACTGATTCAACTTTCAGCCTCCAATTATGATTGTGTAATAATTTAGGAGCTTTCATCAGCATGGTGTCTTTTTTGGCTCTTTTGTCACTGAATCCCCCTCTCCATTCAGCAAATTTCTAAAATTGTTTGCAACCTTTTTTGGTTACCCTTTTGATTTGAAAAATAGTATTTAGTTTAATCACCTAATCGAAAATATAAATTGCGCTCATATACAATGTTGTAAAACTATTAGTTACACCATAAAATAATGTCTGTATCTGTTGGGGTAAATGGTAGATGTGCCCTGTGTTAGATGTTTAGCCTGAAGAGCTCTTTTTAAGCTTCTCTGAGGTTTGACTAATTGCAAGAGCTCGCATCTTGCAACTTGTAACGAGTCTGCAATGTTTGAGGGGTAACCATTGGAACCAGAGGCTTGCAATAATTTGGTTTAATTTGATCTTGTTTAAGTAGCTATTACCAAACAAGTCGCAGTTTTCCTCCAAGTGGTCGTAGCACACCTTCTTGTAGCAAGAAAAGCAGGATTTTGATTGATTCGGCTTCTTACAGCGTTCTTTGTTCTCGTTCTAAACATAAAATATAACTTAAATTTACAAAAGAAGTTGATGCGTACATTTCAAGTTGGTTAATTGTCCATCGCAACTAAATTGAATGACAACCATCCTCTTTTTGTGTTCTGGCCGCTTTTTGTTAAAAAATTCCGTAAAATACTGCCAAAACTCTAGATACTCCGACTGCCCTCTAACTTGTCTAATATTTTGAACCAAAAATTAGAAAAAAAACCGAGTTGCCGATTTATCTCTTAAAAGCAATAACCCGTTAAACAAATTGCTACAACAATATTGAATAGAAAAAAATATAGGGATGTCCTTCAAACTTATGGTTTGCGGTAAATAACTCAATTCTATTGAATGTAGCTAATCGATGGATATTTTTCTTGAAATCAAATTTTTGAACAAATTTTCGAAAAAATCAAAAAACAAATTAACTATGAAATTGTCATAATAACTGCAACTCATTGTATCTTATTTGTATTTTCATCATTTTTCATAGCTAAATCATCAATAAATTATTGTTAATCAAATTTAAATTTTCAATCGATTTATCGTTGTACTTGTGGATCCGACTTTCGAAACAAAAGAAACGAAATATTTGTGCTTGGGGTGGTTTTTTTCTTCAGAAAAATACCGACTTTTTACCTAGCCTTGTTAGACGGGAACTTTTAAAAGTATTCCAAAGGTTCTTCCAAAGGTCCTGAGAATAAATTTAAAAATATATTTCAGCTGGGATCAATTTTTGTAAGTTTTTGGATGTTTAAAGATTGCCATTTTGGCTAATTTGAGACAAGTAACTCGGGATGTGTTTCGCGCTATTAAGGCGTAAGCGGAGATTTAATCCGTCTTAGAAATCGTTCTATATTGTTTCAAAGAAACTTATTCGCCATAATTGATTTGTTTCAAGGGCGAAATCTATCACCTGGTGTTTTATTTGGTGGGTGGTGAGGAGGGATGATCTTCACAAAAAATCTCAAATAAATAAAATCACTTTGTTCTAATGCATAAGTTATTACTGCTCCATAAACCTTAAAAGGCAGTCAAAACATACAAGGCTTCGCCTTGATATGAGCAGTTTTTTATTCACAGATGATTATCTATGGGAGATCTACCAGGTTACTTTTTGCTATTGAGTGATCGGCTGCAAGAAATTTTCCCATTCATACTTACAAAAACACAGAAGCAGAAATTATCCCGAATGAGAAGTCATTTATCAGTTACTTCATGAAAACCATTTGATCTGATACATTACTCCTGAGGATTTATTAAATTACGCAAAATTTTCAAGTAGAAAAAAAATTGGCGGATTCAAAACATTAGGATTTCTTTTTGAAATGAATAGACTTGTACTTTTTGTAACATGCGATTTTGACATAATTCAATTTGTCGTTGCCCAACTTGTCCGATTTCAACTTGCCAAGATGACAACGTGTCTATGCCATCTTGTCCCAGATAATCAAAAATGAAAGTTGCCCCAGATTTTTTGATATCTTCATAGAACATAATGTTGGCGTAAAGATGAAAAATAATTTTGTTGAACAATTAAGCCCGAAACAAAATGCGGAATCATTAAAATATGTGCTGAATCAAAATAAGTTCAAATCATGCATGAAAAAATGAAAGCGCCAAAAATCATTGCATTCTTCATGTCGAGTTAAACATTTCAAAAGATTGATTTCTGATCATTTAAGCTCTTATCGAATAATTAATAGTGCACAACACTCTTAACTAAGAAGTCAAGAGTAAAAAACTTGAAGAAAACAAAAAAAATGTAGGAAATCGATGAAATGGAAAACCGCAGCTACTGCCTCGCCCGAAAACCCACTATACCGGGTAATCAAGAAAAGGCGGCGGGGTGCAGGAAAAAGCAAAACTTTTGCAGTATTGGCAATTATCACCTCTCAAAATTTGGACCCTGTAAGGCGGCTATAAGTTAAAACAAAGTGCTCTTTTTTTAAAAATCAAATAAAAACGCACAGAAATGCTGGCAATTAAGTGAAAATTTTGCCAACATTTTAAAAATTAGGAAAAAAAAATTAACAAAGGCATATAAATAGTGAACAACTTTGTCTTTGTTGGAATTACTAGAATTGTTTTGGCTTTTTGCACGACTATCTCGATTTTTTTTTTCCGCCCTTGATTCAGCGTTCCCCCAAAGCCTTCGAAATGCTGAATTTCTGGTTTGTTGAGTCTATTGGAATCTTGTTCAGAAAAGTTGAGAGGCTTGGATGGCTCCCTTGAAATAATGCTGTAACTCCGAGATGCCAACTTTTCAAAAAATAGACAAATATTGGAGGATTCAAAACATTAGGACTTCTTTTTGACATGACTAGACTCGTATTTTTTGTTACAGGTTATTTTGACCCAATTCAATTTGTCGTTGTCCAACTTGTCCGATTTCAACTTGCCAAGATGACAACGTGTCTATGCCATCTTGTCCCAGATAATCAAAAATGAAAGTTGCCCCAGATTCTTTGATATCTTCATAGAACATAATGTCGGCGTAAAGGTGAAAGATAATTTTGTTGAACAATTAAGCTCGAAACAAAATGCGGAATCATTAAAACATGTGCTGAATCAAAATGAGTTCAAATAATGCTTGAAAAAACGAAAGCACCAAAATTCAATGCAGTCTTCATGTCGAGTTAAACATTTCAAAAGGTTGATTTCTGATCATGTAAGCTCTTATCGAATAGTTAATAGTGCACAACACTCTTAACTAAGAAGTCAAGAGTCAAAAACTTGAAGAAATCGAAAAAAAATGTAGGAAATCGATTAAATGGACAACCGCAGGTGCTGCCTCGCCCGAAAACCCCCTATACCGGAAGATCAAGAAAAGGCGGCGGGGTGCAGGAAAAAGCAAAACTTTTGCAGTATTGGCAATTATCACCTCTCAAAATTTGGACCCTGTAAGACGGCTATAAGTTAAATTAAAGTGCTGATTTTTTAAAAATCAATCAAAAACGCAACAAAATGCCAGCAATTGATTGAAAATTTTGCCAATATTTTGAATATTAGGAAAAAAATAAATTAACAAAGGCATATAAATAGTGAAAAAGTTTGTCTTTTTGGAATTACTAGAAATGTTTTGGCTTTTTGCACGAACATCTCGATTTTCGTTCCGCTCCTGATTCAGCGTTCCCCCCATAGCCTTCGAAATGCTGATATTCTGGTTTGTTAAGTCTATTGGATTCTTGTTCAGAAATGTTGAGAGGCTTGGATGGCTCTCTTGAAATAATGCTGTAACTCCGAGATGCCAACCTTCAACGGCGTTTGTCGTTCGTATCAAGCCTTCCGCTGCTTCTTGACAATGATTCTAGAGACTCATAGTGAATAACGGTTGCCTGCTGTTTCGTCCTATTGCTTTGACTTTTATATAACTTATCGGAAAGTATGAGACAATTTCGTCATTTTTATCTGACAGGCTTTGCTCAAGATCTAATCGGTCCATCACATGCTCAATCTCTCGAACGACTGTTTAACTAAATCAATTGGAACAAAACTGAGAGCGGTTAAAACACGCAGAGCCAAGCTCAGCTCGCAGTTGTTTTCATAGGCTTTCTTTAATCCCAGCTCGTTAACTTTGCGTTAAAAAACCTGGCAGAGTTGAAAGCAACTGCCTTTGATAGAAGACTCTGGAAACGCAGTTGTAAAAGCGTTTACGGCAGCTCGTTAGAAGGATCCTCGATGGTAGCGCGTTATCAGAGACAGAGGCGATGGCTTTCAGGAACTTTAAAGACGTCTGTTCAGTTTTGTTTGGTAGTAGAGCGTACAGGCATCGTGGGTAAAACTCACCGATTTGAATGTGTATGGTATAAAGCTGGTAAAATTGAATTGGACAAATTTTAAATGTACCGTCGCAAAGCCAAAGAGATTGTGAACTCGGAGGGCATAATCATTATCTCAATCACCGAAAACTAAAATTCGCTCAGGATCCATTACTCCACCGTCGAATAAAAAGAAATCAGAATATTCCTTCGGAATTATGAAATGCCTGTCATTATTGACTGGCAAGGACGGGACCAGGTTCTGTTTATGGCAATTTCAGAGTTCTGTTTTGCTGAACGATTGGGCAAGGATAAATGAGCTGCTTTCCTATCTGTTACTTCCTGGAAACAAGTGGCAGTTATACTACTATTGACAGGTAGAATTTGCTGCCTTGCCTCTTTTTTCATTTGATGCGTGATCTGGTTTGCCTCAAATTTCCCACGTCTAAGATCGTGGCTGTGCTCATTTTTTGCTGATACCAGTTCATCTCGTGCTGTGACGGCGAGCATGCGGCATTTGTATGAAACTGTATTTGCGCATCTCCAGTGCTCAGTAGTTTTTGTCGTTTGCTTTTTTTGTGAAATTGTGTCCGTCAATAATGAGCGTTCGTTCATTTCGTTGGGATATTACCCACGTAATTTGACTCATAGTGCTTATGTTGGGTAACATAATGGTAAGCAATGAAGCAAAATGAAACAATAGACGTGTTTCATTTTGTTTGAGTGGCGCTTATTGCGGATTATTGTCAAATTTTGGCGTGTAATTACCAAAAATTATGTTTTTTTTGGGCTCAGCTTCAATAAACTTGATTCGTCTTTTGTTATCTCAAAATGAGTCGAGTCTACATTAGCACTTGCTGGTCCTCAATTTAAAAGTCAAAGAATCAAGTAAAAGTAATAAGTATGGGACAAAATGGCATAGGACAAAACGTCATATGGGGCAAGTTGGCATAGGACAACTTGCCATGTAGGGCAAGTTAGTATAGGACAAGTTTGCATAGGGCCAATTGAATTGAGGCAAATCGTCTTGAAACCGTATTTTCGGACATTTAAATTTCTTAAATGAAATAAAAGCAGAAGAAAACATGATAAAAACTTTCATTAAAAACATCAAAACATCATAGGGCCAATTGAATTGAGGCAAATCGTCTTGAAACCGTATTTTCGGACATTTAAATTTCTTAAATGAAATAAAAGCAGAAGAAAACATGATAAAAACTTTCATTAAAAACATCAAAATCTGTGGTTTTTGCAAGAAAAACTCTCAAACTACGAAATGTGCAATCTTGTTGGTAATCAATTTTTCCAACTAGTTGCAACAATTGTTTTTGGAGCCCCGCCATTTCGCTGTTTATTTGTTGAGTATAACAGCTGAATGGATATTAAACTAGCATACAAGAACAATGGAGTCACAACCTGCAACATTAAAAAAATTATCATAACTAAAGTCAAACTCATTCATGAAAACAATGAAGAACAATGCCTTTTCGTGTGTTTTTTTTCTTCCCGGTTTGACTACTTTAGAAAACGCGTCGAGTCATATTGAAACTGTCAATTGGATTCCAAAAAAAATCAAATAAGTCCCAATGTTGAAAAACCTGGTTTTATATGATTTTTTGATGGCCAGATTTTTTTTAAATTGCTGGCTCTGACTGCTCAAACTTCTTGACATTCAATCTATTTCCAATATATATTTAATGTTATTGCAAATACGATCACTTCCAATTTACAGTTTCTATTTTTTCAAAACATTTCCTGATTTTTCAAAACGTTTTGTGCTTCTAGCTCATCAGTCGGCTGTCCTTGTTGCGCACCTCGCAGTTCGAACATTCATTATTTTGGACTACTTTGACCACAGCAATTCAAATTGGGGGAAAAACTTGCGTTCTGTGACGTTCTATTAAAGCCTCTGCGGCAAATTAAGTCATTCCTAATTGAATTCAGGCAAGCAATTTGTTCTTACTCAAACGTTACCATGCACAAAAATCTCACTTTGTACTTTGCAAAGTGTGCAGAGCAAAAAAAATAAGATTTTAAACTAAAAAAGAATAATGCAAAGTTTGTCAGCATATTTTTATGAAATCTTTTTAGAAAAAAGTTATAAACCTTCTCTTCAACATTGAGGGTTTCGTTCTGGTGTGAGCATCCTGGTCGAAGATGTAAAATTACTATACCTTGATTTCAGCTTCTTCCGCGATCAGTTTCTTCAATTCCTCCATGGTATCCTGAAGCGTCTTCTTTTCATTCGCAAACTGTTGAAGTTGCACCATCGAGTGATTGACAGCTTTGATCAAGTGCTTGAAGGTCAAACTCGATATGTTTTTCAGCAGGAGGTCATCGAATCCTGATGAGCTATCGATCGTCCATAACGGTCCTCTTCTTCCAGAGGAAAACCCAATAATAGTAAACAGCAGCAAAAGTTTTAACATCCCTTTTTCTTCAAAAAAGTCAAAACTTTACTCAAAACTATGTCGCTCAATATTTAGCACAAACTTCTCTTTTAATCATATATCGACGCCTAAATGATGTGAAACTGGAATATCGTTGAAATAGTTTTGTATTCAAGATTTGTATCTTAAATTTATGAAGACTATTTGATGTAGCTGATAAGAAGTGTCCACAAAAGAACTTGTTCAAAATATAGTCGAAATTAGTAACACGATGTTCTACCGTCATTAAATAAACATACCATATTTGGCGAGAATCTAGGACTTCGGTAAGGGAGAGTCATTCAATATGTGCTAAATGTGGGGGTTCGAAATTTTTTTGGAGTTTATGTTGAGTTTGAGATTGAATTTTCTAGCCAATTTGTGCACTATCCTAGACGAAGTAGCATAGTGGCAAGGAGTTCACTGCAAGGAGGTCAAACGAGTTGCTTACTTGGCTCTTACCTGACATCTAGCTTCAGCTCAAGCACTCCTGGCCGATTTAGACTGCAATAGTATATAATTTAAAAACTTGCCTGGCCGATTTAACACAGCCTGGCCGATTTAGACTGCAATAGTATATAATTTAAAAACTTGCCTGTGAGTCTCCGAAACGAGTATCATGCGTTAAATCTGTCAGGAACTTAAGGCAAAAACAAAAGCACTATCTTGTCTCATGGCGCAAAAAAGAGTAGTTTAACATAAATGAGGGTTTGGTTTTAAAAATTGAGCAAAATACTTACGACAGCAAAACTTATGCGGAATAACATATTGCAAAGAAAAAATCGCAACATGACAAATATACTAAATCGTACAGGAGCTGCTTGAAAAGAAAAATAGATTAGACCAAAATTTCTCACTTGCTGGAGCAATGTAAATCTTGCAGGTTACACCCGCATTGGAGTTCCATGAAAAAAAAAATAATATAGCTGAGTTTCATTGTCAGTATCCACAAAAGTGGAAAAAATTGTTTTTTATAACATTACTATTTTTCGAGGCAACAAAATTCATTTTAATCCATTATAATAGTTTTTTATCACTTTTGTGGACGCTGACAAGGAAACTCAAATATAATCAATTTTTTTCCTTTTTACTGTAATGCGAACTTCAACGCACATAAGATCTTTTCTTTCTTTAAACTTAAATTGGTTACTTATGTTTAATTAAATTTTTTTCTGCGCAACTTTGATATGTTTTGTACTTTTTTAAATGTTAGTTAATAATTGAGTTTTGTTTCTTTCAAAATTTTTTTGTAAATTTTTCGAAACTTTTGGGGGTTCAGGTGCGGAGGTTGGTTCAGGTGGGGGGGGGGGGGGGGGAAGCAGAGGGTTTGCTTCAAGTATGTGTGGGGGGGGGGGGTTGATCGTTTAATTTATATTTAGAAAAAGAGTAGGCCGCACACTCAATTTATAAAATTTGCACATTAGTCATTTAATTCAAGGACAAATTCTTGCAAAATTTTTCGAGAATTTTCCTCCAAAAATGGATCATTTCGTTTTTTTTTTTATTAAATAAGAATTGCGCAAAAACTACCGATTTATTTGATGAAAAAAAAATTGTATGTCACAAAAAGCCTCGTACACAGCCCGAAAAAATTCTAGAAAATTAAAATCTATGAAAATCTGTTTATGAGGTTAAGTTTTTGGTTGATAGCCAAAAAAAAACTTTTTAATTACATGAAATCGAAAAATTTGTTAAAAATTGTTCTGTGCAATATTTTGGAATTTATATTTTCTGTAACTCTTTCAGGCTGTGTAATGGCTTCTTTTGATGAAGATTTTGCATCAAAACTCAGTAGTTTCCGCATAATTCGTAGTTTTTTACCAAATTGACCCAATTTTTGGGGAAAATTGTGTTTGCGAGTTTCGAAGAATATATTGCATCACAAACTTTTTGGGTAAATTCTAAGATTCCCCTGTTGGGGAAACTTTCCTTGTTGGGTCTCAGTTAGACAACTAAAAAAAACTATGGTTATTGTGTAGGTGTGTGTTAAAAGGTATTTAATACGCTAGCCTAATTGTTAAATTTAAATTAAAACGGAGTTGAAAGTTAAATTCATCTAATAAGTTCTGATCATTTGGAAACAATGCTAACAAATGAGCAATGGTCGTCCAAAAGCTACATCGCTTTTAGCGGGTACTTAATTGGTACGTCATAGCAGCTGAAACACTTGATGCTTGAATGGCAGTACTGTAAAGTGATAAGTTGATGTGGTTATGATTTATAGATACTTCGCAGACCCAATTTGAAAAATTTGACCCAATTTTTGAATTTTTTTTGTTTTGCCCGAGTAAAGCTCTTATTTCGAAAAAGGAACTGGTGAAAAAATAAACTTCGGCAAATCTTTTTATGCGCACAATCAGAATCAGTTAGCGGATTCTGTCTATTGTTTATTGACAGGACCTGAAGAATTAAAAACCAATATAACGCTATTTCTACTTGGTCAGTTAAAAACTTAGATAAAATTTTGTACTAGAGTATTCCTTTTGTCTTTATATTTTTCAAGTTTGAATTATTTAGTGAGCACATATAACTAACAAGCATCAGTCATAAGATACTCACAGGGATCGACTAACTGGCCCTGTGAGTCGACTCACGGCCCCTGATTTTAATAGCAGCTCTGCGCCCGCAGGTTTTCCGCCTGTCTGAGGCACAAATACTACGTCCTTTTTGAAGAAAGCAGTAATCTTGAGTATGGAGAGATAAAAATTGCTCTCTTTATCTACGGAAGTTTCTTATTTACTCTAGATTTCTGAAAAATTTGCCTTCAAACTGACTACTAATTTCATTCAGCAGAATCTGCTCTACTCAAGTTTCCAAATTTGTTCTGTTTTCAAACGTTCGTAGAAACGGACGTTACTCTTCAGTCTGGACTTTTTTTGTCAGCTGCTTTCGACACTTTTGACCATCAAAAAGTCTTTTCACCGTTAACAATCTGGTTTTGATGAAACTGCTGAAAAATTGTTTCGGGAAGTTCTTCTCATAACAGTTTTTGGGGTCAGTCAGATGAATTTATTAGCATTCTCCACTAGATTTTTTACTCGGCCCGTTGCTTTTCACTACTCTTTGAATAAAGTCTAAGAGTTCAGCTATTTCGATACCACCTTGGGACGCCAAAGGATAGTCGATCTTATAAAAACGACCCATCGCAGTGACATTAAAACTGACCAGTTTTGGCTTCATTTTCGGTAATTATCACAGCAAGGTTGCCCAGATATGCTCAGCCACATCAACCCGTAGTTTTCATCTGAGCCGCGTTAAACCTTTTTTTGTCTTTGAAGCGTATCTGAATGTATCAAAACTTTATAAGCAAAACGACTAAGTTGGAAGGCTAAACTTTGGTTTTATTTATCCTTTTCTCCGAGAAAGTGTCATGCTAGTGCTTGGAATGGGATCTTGCTCAATTGCTGGTCCCTTGTTATGGAATGTTTCCCCATCTCACTTTTAAAAACCGCATGGCTCAGCAACATCCAGAAAAAAAATGTTTGTTCAGGTTAAATCTTTACGGTTGGAGTCATAACAATAACGTTGAAGAAATGAATGTTTCCCGCAAAAATATCCGGTTACCCTGCAAGTTGGCAAAAATCTGCACGTTAAGTATCTTTGCAATTATCTGCTGCAAATTGAAAAGCATTAAACAAAAAAATTAATGATTTTTTTTAATTTATTTTTTTCCTTTTTTTTGAAAGTTGAATTCATTCGTCTGCAAGGAAATGCAGTTTAGCTACGCCAAATGAACTTTCAATGAACTTTGAAAAAACTAAAATGCATTACTTTCAATAAGCAAGAATTCTTCGTCAAAAAAAATAACAACAAATCGTTTTTGTGGCAAGAAAATGCAGTTATTCGAAATGTATTGTTGTCCTGAGCTCAAATTTGAAAAGATATTTCACCTGTGATCATTTTTCGTAAAGTTATGGGGGTTTAAAGATTGCCATTTTGGCCAATTTGGAACAATTAACGCGCGATATAATTCGCGCTATTAACGCGTAAGCGGAGGTTTAAGCCGTCCTAAAAATCGCTCCAAAATGGTTCAAGGCAGCTTATATGCCATAATTGATTTGTTAATAGGAGCAAAATCTTAAACTTTGTACTCAAAATGGTGTTGGGGTGGGTGTTGTAACAAAAAATCTCAATTTTCTTTTATTTTTCATTTTATTTTATTAAATTTAATTTTTTTGATGTAATAACTGCTCCATAGACCTTAAAAGGCAATCGGAATATTCAGAGCTTCGCCCTAATACGAGCAGTCTTGTTTCTTTTTAAAAAAAAAGTTCCAAAAAAATTTAAAAAAAAAAACGAATTAAACTTTTCAGTTTTGAGTCTAAAGTTTAGTGAGTGAAACAAACGATAAGCATTTGTAGATGCAAATTGTATACTTGAGTTCTGAATAAAAAGACAATTTTACTAAAAGAAAACAAATTATTGAAGGTTTATGTGGCGCTTCTTTGGTACTTAGAGGTTGTTAAATTCAAAAAAGTACTGATTGAAAAAATTTTCAACCTATTTGAGTTTTTTTTTCTGTTATTTTATGAAAAACAACTGTAGTCAATAGTAGTAAGGCCATTACAAATCGTTCAACGTACCTTTGTAACTATACTTTGCTCAAAACACGGTTTGAGTTTGCATAAAACAAATATTTTTATGAAGTTTTTTTAAACTGTTTTTGGAACATCCTGTGCTACTTGCAGATCATTCGGTTATTGTTCCGACTTTCGATACGAAAGTAACGGAATATTTGTGCTCGGGGTGGGTTTTTTTTCTTCAGACAAATTTCGACTTTTCAACTAGCCATTTTTGACGGAGTTTTTTTTATATCATTCGAAAGGTATTGTTGTCCTGAGCTCAAATTTGAAAAGATATTTCACCTTAATCATTTTTTGTAAAGTTACGGGGTTTAAAGATTGCCATTTTGGCCAATTGGGACAATTAACGCGCGATATATTTCGCGTTATTAACGCGTAAGCGGAGAGTTAATCCATCTTAGAAAACGTTCCAAATTGGTTAAAAGAAGCTTATTTGCCATAATTGGTTTGTTACAAGGAGCAAAATCTATCCCCACTTTATATGGCGTGTGGGGGGATGATTTTTATTTTAAAAATATCTCAAATTTTAGAAATTTTTTTTTTTCATTTTGTTTTATTTCATCGAATTTTTTAATGTTATTACTGCTCCATAAACCTTAAAAGGTAG